CAGGCTGCATCAAGCCGCATCAGGCTGCATCAGGCTGCATCAGGCTGCATCAGGCCGCATCAGGCCGCATCAGGCCGCATCAGGCCGCATCAGGCCGCATCAAGCCGCATCAGGCCGCATCAGGCCGCATCAAGCCGCATCAAGCCGCATCAGGCCGCATCAGGCCGCATCAGGCCGCATCAAGCCGCATCAAGCCGCATCAGGCCGCATCAGGCCGCATCAGGCCGCATCAGGCGGCATCAGGCCGCATCAGGCCGCATCAGGCGGCATCAGGCCGCATCAGGCCGCATCAGGCCGCATCAGGCCGCATCAGGCCGCATCAGGCCGCATCAGGCCGCATCAGGCCGCATCAAGCCGCATCAAGCCGCATCAGGCCGCATCAAGCCGCATCAAGCTGCATCAGGCTGCATCAAGCTGCATCAGGCTGCATCAAGCTGCATCAAGCCGCATCAGGCCGCATCAGGCTGCATCAGGCTGCATCAAGCTGCATCAAGCCGCATCAAGCTGCATCAAGCCGCATCAGGCCGCATCAAGCCGCATCAGGCTGCATCAAGCTGCATCAAGCTGCATCAGGCTGCATCAAGCTGCATCAAGCTGCATCAGGCTGCATCAAGCTGCATCAAGCTGCATCAAGCCGCATCAGGCCGCATCAGGCTGCATCAGGCTGCATCAAGCTGCATCAAGCCGCATCAAGCTGCATCAAGCCGCATCAGGCTGCATCAAGCCGCATCAAGCTGCATCAGGCTGCATCAAGCTGCATCAAGCTGCATCAGGCTGCATCAAGCTGCATCAGGCTGCATCAAGCTGCATCAGGCTGCATCAAGCTGCATCAAGCTGCATCAGGCTGCATCAAGCTGCATCAGGCTGCATCAAGCTGCATCAGGCTGCATCAAGCTGCATCAGGCTGCATCAAGCCGCATCAGGCCTCATCATGCCGCATCAGGCCGCATCAAGCCGCATCAAGCCGCATCAGGCCGCATCAAGCCGCATCAGGCCGCATCAAGCCGCATCAGGCCGCATCAAGCCGCATCAAGCCGCATCAGGCCGCATCAAGCCGCATCAGGCCGCATCAAGCTGCATCAGGCTGCATCAAGCTGCATTAGGCTGCATCAGGCTGCATCAGGCTGCATCAGGCTGCATCAGGCTGCATCAAGCTGCATCAAGCTGCATCAAGCTGCATCAGGCTGCATCAAGCCGCATCAGGCTGCATCAAGCTGCATCAAGCCGCATCAAGCCGCATCAAGCCGCATCAGGCCGCATCAAGCCGCATCAGGCCGCATCAGGCCGCATCAGGCCGCATCAAGCCGCATCAGGCCGCATCAGGCTGCATCAGGCTGCATCAAGCTGCATCAGGCTGCATCAAGCTGCATCAAGCTGCATCAGGCTGCATCAAGCTGCATCAAGCCGCATCAAGCCGCATCAGGCCGCATCAAGCTGCATCAGGCTGCATCAAGCTGCATCAGGCTGCATCAAGCTGCATCAGGCTGCATCAAGCTGCATCAAGCCGCATCAAGCCGCATCAGGCCGCATCAAGCCGCATCAGGCCGCATCAGGCCGCATCAGGCCGCATCAAGCCGCATCAGGCCGCATCAGGCTGCATCAAGCTGCATCAGGCTGCATCAGGCTGCATCAAGCTGCATCAAGCTGCATCAGGCTGCATCAAGCTGCATCAAGCTGCATCAAGCTGCATCAGGCTGCATCAAGCTGCATCAAGCCGCATCAAGCCGCATCAAGCCGCATCAGGCTGCATCAGGCTGCATCAAGCTGCATCAAGCTGCATTAGGCTGCATCAGGCTGCATCAGGCTGCATCAGGCTGCATCAAGCTGCATCAAGCTGCATCAAGCTGCATCAGGCTGCATCAAGCTGCATCAGGCTGCATCAGGCTGCATCAAGCCGCATCAGGCTGCATCAGGCTGCATCAAGCTGCATCAGGCTGCATCAAGCTGCATCAAGCTGCATCAGGCTGCACAACACACACTGTAGTTGTTTCTGATTGTGAGTGGTCTGGCATTTAACCACGGTTTTGTCAAGGCTGGCATTTGATGGTCTATCGGGATGCCTTCAAGGAGTATTACAACCGATGTGCCATTATAAAGCAGATGGCAGATGACCTGGAACTCTAAGCCCCGCCATACTGAGGAAACAGTGGGAAATAGGTGCAGCTCTTAACCCGGCCGACACTGAATTTAAGCACTAACTTCAATGAAAAAGCAGCTGAGTGTCCTGAGGGCGTAGGAAAACAATTTACTGAGCAGAGCCAGACGTAACTGAAAAATGGTGTCTGCAGCAGCACGTATAGCTGCTGTATGGTTTCTATTGTTGCCGCTGAAAAGATGAACAGGAACTGCGAAGCAATCATAAAGCATGCAGGGAAGCAATTTCTTTCTCTTATTCAAGTGAAAAATGATTCCGTGCTGTCACAAAAGACTCCCTAACAAGGTGCTTTAAACTCTCTGGCAGTGCATTGCTGCGGGGTGTCAAAGAGTGGATAAGCTATAAATGAAGCTTAAACTCAAAAGTCTGTTTTTGGTAATAGCAGCATTTCGTTCCCTCTTCAATTTGCTTTTGATGTGGAGCAAAGATTAACAGTGTTAAATCGTCCTCTTCACTGTCTCAAAGTAACAACACAGGAATAATGAGCAGGTTGTTGACAACAAGAGCGCCTCTTTAAAGTCTGTGAACATTATACAGACTTTTATTTTCTTCAGGTTCTTGTATTAGAATAAATCCCCTCTATTGACCATTGTGTATTAGTTCAGTTAAAAAAAGCCATGTAATCTGAGGCGACAATATCCATTCACTGAGGAATGCTTGAATCTGGTCCTGATCCTCCTGGTCCTGATCCTCCTGGTCCTGATCCTCCTGGTCCTGCCTCTTCATGTTTGATCGGCTGAGACTCTCGGTGCAGCTGATGTCAGTGTGGCAGAAAGATTTGCACATGTCGATCCCTCAGGGTTAATGAGGCCTTCTGTTTGGGTTTCCATGATCAGCCAAACGTCATGCATCACACACACACACATGATACACAGTGATCAGAGCTCAGCCTCTCTCCTTGTCTCTGGAAATAAACTCCATCAGAAACCTGCTGTATATTTGCCTTACCTCTGTTTGTGTATTGTTAAGATTACACCAACTACACACTCTTTCTTTTCCAATCCTTCCTCATGATCAGATTGGTTTACTAAGGAGGTCAGTCATATACTCAGCTGGTGACTGACCTGTGCCATGTAACATCAAGACAGCCTTTTAGTAATCTCCGTATCATTTCAGCTTGAAATTCAGAGATATTCAGTATTGTTTCTTTCAGCTGGGAAACATTGCACAAATCAAGCTATACGCAGAAATCTCCTCCTGCAAACCTTCATACATTGAATACTAAGGCCTTAATTGATATTCAAATATCTCACAGAAAGAGTTTTCTAAAATCGTTTTTTCTCTAACATTGCAAAACGAAATAATACCATCTATTTTTTTTTTTTTTATGTATTGATTGTTCTGGCATGATTTCCATGCAGATGAGGCATCCAGCGACACTCAGATGGTGTTGGTTGTTTGGAGATAAACCGTCTGACAGCAAGCAGCGACATGGCGGAAATGTTGAGTGTTACATAACATTTGGACTAAAGTGTTCCTTAAATGTTGGTTATCGTAAAGTTGTATACGTTTTATTCCGAGTGGAATCAAAAAAGTCTTAAACAGTTTGACTTGCCTTAAGCTGTAGGATCTATATGGCAGCAAGGCGCTGCATGAGAACAGAAGAAGCTGTCTCTCTCTGCTCCTGTTATCAATTCTGCTTCTGCCTGTGTTTTATATTTGTATGTTTGCATATAAGCCTATATGTGAAGCACTTTGTAACTTTGGTTTTAAAAAAAATGTAATACAATTGTTATTGCTTTTAATTATTATACTGTTGCTTGTAAATGCAGTCATCAATAATGCCGGGAGTAATTACTCTTTCAGGCAACACAAAAACATTTCTTCACTCAATTCCTATTGATGATCGGATTGCTTTATGCGACACAGTAAAGCAGAGAGCACTCGCTAACGGCTCCCAGATGTCACAATTAGGAAGACCACAAAGGTCAGCTCAGATCCGGCCGTGTCACAATATTGAAAATCAAATCTACTGTAAAGATCCTGTCGGCCGCAGATCTAGGGAAGGTCAACGGAGTGACACTGATTTCTGAAGACGCTGAGCCGCGCAGCACGGAGAGAGCCAGGTTCAGGCCTCTGGGGTGTCTGCAAAGGACACACACCTGTGACGGGTTGCGCCGTGAGCCAGGGCTGGGGGGAATGGGGGAATGGGGGGGGCTTTATTCTATGGCTCTGCGGATGATTGGCAGAAAATGTCAGGAGCAAGACGTCAGCCCCATACAGACACACAGCAGGTAGATGTCACAGACTTTATGATAAGAAGGAAGTGGCGTCTTCACAGAGTTATGTCATCCTTCAGATCCTCCACAGCACCTCAACTCTTCTGTGTGACTGAATACATATCTCCTGACCTATCACCCAAATGTACCCGACATAAAAGTCGTTTCCCTCTAATGTTGTCCTTCCCTTATCATTATTTTTCCAAACACAAGGATTATTCAGGGTCACAGTTTTTCCACATGCTTGTATTTCACAGAAGGACATGCACAGCCTTCTGGGCTGCACACCACTGGGGCCTGAGCCAGGGTCAGGTATCTCAGAGGGGGGGGGGGGGAGGGGGGGGGGGGGGGGGGCAGACTGAAGCCCATCTACTGCATTTTAATTACACTCAATGTGTTCTGTTTGACCTTCGGAGAGTGCTTATTCTGATTTATTGAAGTCAGGCTTTTTGTGAATCTTTAAGTTCGACCTGCATATTTTTGATAAGCGAGATATCCTCGCACATTTTAAACACAGGTGATATTCATCAGTGAGGTGGAAATAAGTAAAGAGACGACTGAAATGTTCTTGATTGTCTTGCTTTGCTTTTGTAAATCACAACTCTGCTAAACCCCCCACCCCCCAGGGCAGCGCTCACATGGCCCACCCTGAGGATGAGCTGGAGCGCCTGACCAAGAAGATGCTGTTTGACATGGACCACCCACCGTCTGAGGAATATTTTGGTAAGAAAGATGGTTCATCTCACACACACTTGGTCAGCATTAGGCTTCTGGACATGTCACAGCTGAATATCATTTAGCAGCTTTGTTTTCAGGGTAGCTTCTTTTTCCTACTGAGGAGCATTTTAGCCAGTTAGACAAATGAAATCATCATAACATCAAAGTGCTGACTTAAACACAGTCTATGAGCTCTGCAATTACTAATCAAAGATATACATTCAAGTTCAGACAGCATCTTTTCATCATCACACTGTTTAACTAATCACTCCCAGATGTACAGAAGTAAGATCCTTTCTGCTATACGGTGTCCCTAACCTCCGACACAGCAGTGTCTTCATCGGGCCCAGGTGAGAGCAGCCATGTGGCTCAAATGATCCCATTAGTCTTTACACATGTACATTTTGTCCTGTCCTTTTCAACCTTTTGGGTTCTGAATAAACAGAACATTTTCAGAACATTTATGGGAAAGTAAAAAGGTATATTTTCCTTTTATAAAAAGTGAAAATAGACATATTGTTAAACCCCAAATCAAAAGTTTACAGAGAGAAAATAGGAAAAGGAAAAAAAAGCTAATTTGAGTGTCCTTTAAGATGTATTCAATCTTAGTATTGAGTATTATCTCACTGTGACTCATTTCACTGTGACACCAGAATACCTTTTTCATTTACATTGTTTCAGCAAAAGTAAAGGGACAAAGAGGCATCAATCAAATATTAAAGTTACAAATTGACATTACAATTTACAACAGTACACATCCAGGTGGACAACAGATGTCTTTTTAAACAAGTGTAGCATGTTTGAAGTCTCATAGCAGCCAGGTAACAGTTGTACAAGTAAAATAATATATTGCAGAGGTATTTACAGATTCATTACAGTAGTTGAATTGTTTAACTAAGAGATAGCAGCCAGTAATAATATTAATTATTATTATAAAGCGGTATATATATTGCAAATAACTTAAAAGTGAAGCTGCACAATAGAGGTGATCTAAAAATGTGTCCAAAACTAATGGGTGTGCTCCAAACCCAAACCCATGCCACGTTTAGTAATAAAACAATGTGGGATAGGGTTAACACAATAAGAGTGAGCAAAGGTTTCCTCGATTAGCCCACCTAGTGACCTACAGTATTAGGTTAGTTTTGTCTCACAAGAATAGTGTTTTTGGAGAATGGCTCCAGGCTACAGTACAGTGCAGTGTGTGATACCAGGAGGTTCACCTCGTATTCTTGGTGCCTCGTATCTGTTGGTTTACAGGTGCATATCAAGCAGTCTGGGAAGCAGTCCTCAAGGTAGAGTCTCAAAACGATATCAATGGGATCAAAGGATGAGACACGACTCCTGCTCGGGGTTTAATGAGAAAGAGAGATAAAGGCTTTGGACAGATGAAACATCCTGATTTGATAAAACTCTGTATCTTGTTTGATTGTCCAGAGGTATTTTTTACAGCACTACTCTGACAGTGTTCCTTCTCTGCAGCCCTTGATTTAATTTTACCCTCATTTAAAAATATATAAAACTGCCAGGATTAAACAAAATACCAATTTCAATACTATTGCGCAAAATATGATTCAGAAGCAAAAGGATTCGGCTATGCATATTTCATTTGTGTTTTCCCGCCCTCTGTACCCTCTGCTGCCAGCAAGTGCCATCCCTCTGCACAGCTCTGCTCTAGCCTTTAATCCCCTTTGCCCTGGAATTAATTCCCATGCCCATTAGATACCTCACTCAATGCATTCAATAGGACTTTGCAGCAGGCTTTATATCAGTACATAATCGCCCAGCACACCATGATAGCATGTGTAGGTGTATTATAGCCACAGGGACATGTATTTAACTGGTATTAAGGGATATTCGGCTCCACGTTGGTCGCGCTGATGTAAAGAACTTAATTGGTCCACATTAGACATAGGTCAAATGGATCTGATGGCTTAAGCAAAGTGTAGTCATTTTACAGAGGAATGGCCCCTCAAAGCCTGGTTGGCCTCATTTTTAGGTGAGCGTGTGTGCGCCGCAGCCCGGCCTGAACTCTGTGCTCCGCCATACATGCAGCTGCTGCAGCTATAAGGCTGAGTGGCTCAAGGCAAGTGAAGCAAGGACAAGGGAGTTGAGAAATGGGTCATATGTGAGCTGAGGTAGCCAGAACAAGTTAGGGATAGCGTGTGCATCCCTAGCTGACAGCGGCTGGATGTTACGGGAGTGGGAGGGGGGGTCATCTTGTGGTTAAACAAGGCAACAGCTGAATTCACTGACAGAGAGGAAGGGGCTGAGCCTCTGACTGAGGTGACTGCAGGGACTCATTAGGAGCGAGTTCAAGCACAATCACATGCTGCTCTGCAAACCCTCAGAGCCCCTGTCCTCCCCCGCTGAGGAAAATGTACATATAGCACCACGGTAACGTTAAAATTAGCTTTAGTCCGCTGTGTTCTTTACTGTGTATCCAGGGCTGAGGGATAATCAGTCCCAGATCACGAGCCTTTTGTAATTACAAAGAATCTAATAGCACACAAGACTCGCGGGGTACACGGGGAAAAGGGCTAGCAGTTGTTGAAAGCCTAAGGCTAATAATTAACAAGATGAATCAAAGTGGGGCTGCGATCTCTGGACTGGATCATTGTCTTCCTATAGCAAAGGATTTATTGGTGCCACTAATTTCTTTGATGAGCTTCTAATCTGAATCAACTATAGTGAGTTTTCCTTGGTCCAGTGGGGGTTAATTGAATTGAATTAACGTTATGATATCACAAGGAAACTTTTTAGTTGAGTTACGCAACATTATTAACTTCAGTGAAGCAAATTACACCAGTCCCACACTGTAAAAACTGTGGCTTTGGTAAAAATAAATGTGTCAAGTGATTCCAAGCAATTTTAAGAGTTTAGTCAAGTTGATGAAACGTACTTTTTTAGTTTTCCTCTACTCAAGAACGTGTTACTTTGCTGAAACTTATAAAGAATGTGTCTAGCGTTTCCAAGCAATTATAGGAGTTGGGTAAACTCACTAATGTGATTTTTTCTGCTTGTGAAAAGATGAGTTGAGCCTACAATTAAAAGCCCAGATATTAAGTGTAACCAATGCAAATAACAATCTGCTAAGAACCACATAAGACAAGAATGAATAAAGTAAATTATAAAACACAATTGAGTTGCCGGAACCTATATACGACAAACTCTTCCTGATTTTAATCCAACCCTTTAAATATTTGATAGCATTGAAACATTGCAGATTAAACAGATTTAAAAAAGGGAACGTTATGGACATGTTAATACATTTGATTAAGATTTGATTATTTCAAAACAGTTTTCATAAAACATTAACCAGTTTGTTTAAAAGCACAACACATTAACATACATGGAGACACATGGTTATTACTTGATGGTTATAACTGCATTGGCTCGTGGGCAACGTATCACTTCATGCTGTGCATCACGAGCCTGTTGCACTTCGACCTCTGCTGTTCCCTATACTAACGAAACACTAAATTGAGTACAAATAATGACACACCATGTGTTTTCCTCAACAACAAAAATCAAATCCGTCTTGAAATCATAACGAGCCAGTTTACATTAGCTGTTAACAGACGGTAACAGAGGTGCTACTCACATGCATTACAAGGGGTTTAAGTCATCAAAAAAGGCTGGTTTGCAAGAAAATGAACCAAATAGTCATGAGATTGATATAGTTCATAAAATGTCCAACTACTCATGCTCAGAGATGTATATAAAGTGGCACATGGGTCCTAGAATAAATAACAGACGATTATTTCAACTTTTATCTTGATAAGTGAGAGCGCAGGCCAGTCTACATGAGTGCAGGGCAAGGCACGTTTCTGTCCAAAGGTTCCATGATGGAGTCGATAATGTTTTAAAATATTACATTGAGTGGTGACACTAGTGCTGCATAGTTTACATCTCCATCCCATCTGTGATTCAAACAATAGAAATGGGTATGTTTACCTGATGCTCATTACATTAGTATGTAAACATAACACATCTTGAATTAACCTCTGAAACAACAACTAGTCTGACACACTCAAGGGCTTACCTGATGTGAACCTGAAGTCCATAGCAGGAGGTAAAATGTCTTCAAGAGGAGGTGTGACTGTTTTCTGGGGAGGCAAATAAAAGAACAAAATAGTTACATGATGAAAATGTAACAATCATTTCAGTAGAATTCATTAAAACATCTTCAATTCAATTAATAGAATCAAACATAATTAAAATATAAGTATCATTTAAAACGGTATTGTATTTATATACATTTATAAGGATGGCATTTATTAAGGATGGTATTGGTAGATACCAGTAAAATTCCATGGTTCTCTACACAGCGGATCCTAATTACTTCACTCCTTTATCTCGTTTGCATACTGTCTAATATCTACTTTATATTGTACTAAAACATCTCCTTAATACAACTGTATTTATTGATATTTCTCGCTAAAGACTGCATTTTACTGGACTACATTGAACACATCTTGCTGACGTTATAAATGCATCTTCGCCCAATACACACTTTTACTAAATTGCGCCTGAATGCACCTTAACTGAAGTCACCTCCATCACTTTCTACTGAGAGCTAACGTAAACTCTCCTGCAGATTCCAACATGGATGTGCATCTATAGCGTTGCATAAGCATGAAAAATATAGTTTGCACTTCATTTTGTATAATAACAACTCGATGCTGTAACTGCAGACAATGAGTTTAAATTGGGTGCACATCTAGATTGTAGAAAGATAATTCATTGCTCACAGTAAAACAAACGGTGAAATACATACAGAGGAATTCATATCAAATAGGCGCATTAGTAGCTTACTCTTACATAACCACTGGGTTATAAAGTAGTAGGGAATAGTTTTAGCGGAGGTATTTTACCGCACAACATGCACGGCAGGAGAGCCTCTGATTCCCGCGGCCGCATGACTGAGCCGGGCCAACGCTTACGGCCGGTCTACACAGCGGCGTGCGTTGAAGCTTGCCGGCGGGCGTGTCTGAAACTCGACCAAC